TACAGTGACGAGTAGCATTAAGTCTAAGTAACATGCATACTGGACCTTAATTTTACCAGACCTTCGTCATACAAGACCTTTGACTAGAGGTCACAGCCTAACAATAAATGCAAATATGGTTCGTAATAAGCTACTTGCACAATTTACCTATACAGCCGTTTTTCTGATGAGGATGGGCTGGTTCTAAAGCTAAATGTATCCTAAATGATCACAGTAGTACAGCTGTGAGGGACGTGATAAAAGTGGGTGTTGTGAAACTGAACGTTTTTAGTTTGCAGTTTAATGATATGACTGCATGCCTTAGCAAGAGATTTGTGTAACTAGTACGAGTATGGTTTATTGCTAAGTGTGTGTGAGGAAGCGTGTTTTTTCAAAAACAACAATGGTGGCTGCAAAAGAGCTTAGCGTAGATGCTGCTATCACCACTTATAAAAAACTGGCAAGTATTTCTTTATTGAAAGAAGAGCAAAGAAAGGCACTGAAGTCTTTTTTTCCTCTTCTCTTCTCCTGACTGGCTTCGGTATGAATTTGACCATGTTTTATGGTTTGTTTGTGATTGGCTTACATTCATATTTTTGTATATTTGTAATTCTGGTGTCAGATGATTCCAAGTAGATTAAAATCCAAGTAAGTAGTTATAAATTATAAAATATGTTTCATAAGGTGTATTGTGATGAGCTTTATCCAATTAAACACAATGCAATGGAAAACATGTGTCCAAAGCCTGTGTGTGAGCTCTGTATTTGTCATTAAGTATCATTGCAGTGATGTGCAAATAACTGCAAACGGTTCTTTTGAATGCTTTTCAGATGCATCTAATCTTATTAGCAGGAGGAGGTTATTGATAAATAGCTTCCTGCTTGCTCTGCCCTTATATCGTATCATATTAGGACAGAGATAAACTATAATTCAGGGAGCCCTTTGTGCTGAACAATATGTCCTACCCACTTTTGTAACAAGCAAAGCTCTCGATTAAAAAAAACATTTGTGTAACATTTCATTTCCAAGACAGAGCACCTGATCACGGTTCATGGCATGAACCATACAGGTAATTTATTGTTAATAATTTAATAACGACTGATTTCTATTTTATTTTTGCCCTTTGAAGTGACCACTTATCACTGTTCTTAAGAAAAAGGAATTGCATCACTCATTATAAAAATGAAAAAGTAATGTTCTAATGAGCCATATATTTTATAAAAATAACTTTGATTAGCCCTATTATTTGAAATACCATTAGGGCATTCAAAGATTACATACGCCTACTCTATGCAGTAATTGCACTTAGGTAAGTTGTAATCACTGGAAGTGCTTTTGATCTTGGTAATAATACTGTATGTGTTAGCCTCAGAATAATAACATTGCTCTTTATTCACAGTCTCAATGTAAAATTGATGGTAAAAAGGCATCGAACAGCTGCTGAGTGTAATGTGTAGCTGGAAAGACTCAAACTTTTTTGTGTGATTTTTTCATTCAATTTTTATCGAATTATTATTCATAATGAACATCTGAGTAGGTTTTATTCAGCTGAATTTATTTTTGGTATTATTTTATGCAAGTTGCTGTCAGACCAGTAACCTACAATGTGTGTTTTTGTCTGTCACATATATACACAAATAGAAAATGTACCTTTCATCTCACCACACATAATTTTAATATGAAAACTCAACGTCATAATAAATAATGCGGGTTTATTTGCTTTAGAATGCTAGCAGTATGGCCCGTCCACCACTTGATTCCAGACTGAAATATCTCACCATCTACTGGGTGGACTGAAGGTTTTGTACGAACATTCATGGTCCCCAGAGGATGAACTGACCAAAGCCACTAGCAGGCCCAATTTTCAAAAAATATCTCATAAAATATCTCTACATGCTGGATGGGTTGGCACAAAATTTTGTAAAGACTTGACCCTCCACCGCCAACATCAGGTAAAATTTTTATTCAGTCTCAGCTGTTCTTTGTTATTGCTAAGCAATTACTGATAGCAAATGGTATCATGATAATATGCTAAACTAAGATGGTGAACATGATATTACACATACCTGTTTAGCATGCATATGTTGTTACAGTTGTCCTACAAGTGCAGCCACACAGAGCAGAGGACTCTGTTTCTTGATTGGAGAGTGACAACATTATCAAAATACTGAAATAGTGGTTTCACTAAATGAGCAAGTGGACGTGCATGTTTCATAACTAGCATCACCAGATGGATCTGTAAAGTGAAATTGAACAGGGGTGTCAATCCATATAGGAGCCCACAAGAGACAAATACATAGTAACTGGGAGAGTTCATCCTTCCATTAGCTCTGTTCTGAACAGATTGGCTGCCAGATGAAGTCTGTTTGCCAAGAAACACTCTGCTCTACTGTACAAACTGTAATGTAATCTCTTGGCCTTGGCTCCTGGTTATGTGCCCTGATAGGCTTATAAAAGATTAATTATCACATAAAGTCTCTAACATTAGTACAAATCCCCTATGATGCTGTAGGAATAACATTTCTACACACACTCACACAATCCATGTAGAAGTCAAGCTTTGCATACAAAATGTTTGTTTTCTGAAATCAAATAATTGATTCCTCATAGTTGTCGGGTTATCCTGCTTGTAACTTGACCACCAACCTCAGTGGATGTAACACACTGCCTGCCTCCAGGAGTCCAATATACCACCCTCATATTTCAATCAATAATCAGGGTGGGATGCAATTAGTAACTTGGAAGGGTTGTGAGAATCACGTGACAGATCAATCGAGCAGAGAGGCGGCACACTCATTGGGGTGATTCACAGCCCAACAGTTTGTCCCCCGCTCAGCCTGAATCTATGCCGTCTATCTTCTTTATATGAAGCATTCAAGGCTGGAAATATGCATCTGTCAAACGTCCCCCATTACTCCGGCTGCCTGTCACACCTGGGGCAGCTCACAACCAACCAGAAAAAAAAAAGACGGAGTGTAGCTGTCAGCAGAGAACCCTCTGAGGACTGAAAAGGCACCAGCTTCCCCCATTTCTCTGACTCTAATTTTCTCAAAACGTAGATATTTTTCTGGGTCTCTGGCTGAGTGCTGGGTTAATGACAGAAGCTGTGTCAGGCAAGGAGCTGAGGCAGCTTGTTTTTGCTCCAGATAACATAAATATATTGTTTTATATCAAGGTATATTAAACCAGATGACCAATATGTATACTCTGGGCTGGTGGCTGTGTAGCTGAAAGAATGTGTCATTAACATCGCTAAAGTTGGTTGTCGTGAGGAAGCCCAAGGATTCCGTCTCTGTACTGTGAGCAGTGTGGGTTGCAGTGCCCACCAAATGGTATGAATGCTGCGAAACTGCTACATCGTGGCTCTGTGGTTAAGGAATGTGGCCAGTATGGTTAAAATTAAGAAGTTTCAGCGTGGGTCCTCACAATTAAAGTGCAGCTGATGCTTCAGCTCCTGCTGTTAAGGTTTCCACTGCAGCATGTCTGGATGTTCTCTCACCTCAAAAACCAGTGTCTTTTCATATCACAAAGCTATTTCTCTCATTTCTCTCCACAGTCCAAGAGAGCGGTAAGAACGACGTCATGAATGAAATATAAGCACACCGCTGTATTACTTATGAGACCTAACGCAACTTTGCTCTGAGCTATTTTCAGATTTCATTTAAATTCATCACCGTGATTAATATTCTCCTACCACAAACAGGCGATAGGGCATCAGTCCGTGAGAAATTATTAGCTAAAGATGAACTTCAGAGATTACTTATCAGCAAAGACCACCTTTCAACTAACCAATAATGTCTACATCAATCATTATAGTAAAAGTCTTTGCAAGGCTCCTCCAAGTAATTCTAAGGCAGTGCAAACAGCAGCCAAGCCCATGATGAGACATGATTCAAGTGACACTAATGTGCTTCAGTGTTGAATTTCAGATGGAACATTGCATTGTACTATTGTTTATTTAAACTTCAAAGGCTGAACACCGCTCCTGGGCAATCTTAAACTAATTTATACATACACCTCCTAAATGAGAGAGACAAGAATGAAAGGCATCTTCAGTCATTTATGCACATTCACATATTCATTAAGCTTACAGTTTGAAATGGAACTATTTTCACAAATGCTATAAATATCAATGAATAGTAATTACAACATAACCTCCACTCTGACCTAACCTTTTCCTGTATCACACAGCAGTGGACTGAATCTAATTATGTTCTTTCTCACAGTATCCAGCACAGTTAATGTTCCATGCACACAGATTTAGAATTTATGTCAATAAGTCAGTAGCAGACAATTCATTCAAACCAGCCATACATCTTCAGACACACAGAGGGTCTGTGGATGAGAGCAACTGTTCTACATCCATTATTCTTGCACCACAAAGACAAAAATTCCCCAGCAGATTTTCTTTGCTGTATATGAAGTCACATCCGAACACTCCATAAATGTACCAAAGAGACACTCTCTGAAATCAGCTGCACTGGGTTTAGCCTCAGCTTAGTTCTGGGAGGACGCCTGCTCCAGATCAATAGAGAGTCCACTCGTCACCTGCTGATCTGTGAACGAACACCTGAGCTCATGCTCCCGCAACTCCTAACTCACTTCCTACCACCAGCTTTGATCAGCGAAAGCCCATTTGTCTCTCTGTCTTGTTCTGCCACTGTACTGTATCTGTCTCTTTTCCTAGCTCTGTTTCTCTATGATTTCACAGTCCTACATGCACCTCTCAGGCACACTCTTAAGACTGTAGCCAGATTCCTGAAGTTGTCATTGTCACAGCTTACCAGCAATAAAAGCACTGATAAAACCACCTTTGACTTCCTCACTAAGGTATGAAACAACTTAGCTCCCTCTTAACATCAGATCTCTACTTCAAATTCATCACAGCAAAACAGAGCAAGGAGAAACTCGAAATGTAGAGAAATCAATTTGTGCACATTGGGGAGCGAGCAATGAGGTTGTCTGTTTGCAGTCTTATAGCCCCTCAGTGCAAAGTGAATAAATCACAAAAAAGGTCTTACCTGGGTTCTTGGTGAGGCTGCTGCTGCTGTTTGTAACAGATCCTATCTCTGCCTATGGGACAGAGTCAAAGAAAGAGAAAGAGAAAAAGAAGAAAGAAAAGAGGGAGGAGGGGCGAGGAGAGGGACCACGAGTGCAGATAAGGAGAGGGAGAAAAATCCGAGAGAAGGCGAGAGTGTGGACAATGAGAGAGAGGAACACAGACAGAGAGGAGAGAGCAGTGACAGTGGTGCTCTCACACAGCGCTGCGTTACACTGAAGGGGATCTGCTGGCAGTGGGAGGTGGTACTTCTCAGTCAAATGACATCTGCCTCTCTCTTAAATGCCATTGGCTAAGAGGGATGATTTCCTAATAAGCCATCCCCGCTGTCTCCAAGTGAACACACCCCCTTCTTTCTTTTCCCTTGTTCATACATACGCAGATGCATGCACACACACCCATACACACATGCAAAGATATTCTTTTACCGTGCGTCCTCCAAAGATTGTCTTTGTCATACCTTTTGTCTTCTCTCCACCTATTCTCTCCCCTCAGCACTTTCACGTCTCTTCATTCTCTCAGGTCCTTTCCTATATGTGCATTCTCATTTTTCACAATTGTTGCAGAAAGTGTTTTCATCTTGCAATTCAAAATTGCTTCGGCTTTCAATTGTGCTTTTTTTAAAGGATATTTCCAACCTTTCAAAAACTGAAAAACAATGGTTGGCTTTTCATGTTCTATATGATGTATATACTTATATTTAAAATAATATGTCATTCAGCTACAGACCAGAACCACTCTTCCTATATAATAACCATGAAAACTGAACAACAATTTTGAATATAAGGCACTCATTGCTTGCAATTGCCTTCAACAGATGCTTAAGTGGCAGAGATGTGAGGGTTTCCAGTGTTCCATTTTGAGTTTTTTTGGGCCAGATTGACAAGACAACAGCTTTACAAAGTAACAGTGGTTGGTACAAAAATATACAGTAAATGGTTTTTTGACCAATTCTATTTAACCAGTTATGCCAATTGCCGATTTAACTGATTTATCTGTTAAGTTTAACTCGTTAAATCTAGCAAATAACCACTGCATTCTTAGACTTGCTTCAACAGTCTTTGTATATTAAATGTGTGGGTGATCAGAATTAATCAAACGCTTGATATGAATGCACAAAATCAATTAAAGTTTTCAAGTAGTGTCACTGACTGAATTGAGTAATTATGCAGTAGCTGTTATCGCCTACTCACAAAGCGGTTGTTATTGGTAGATCTGGGGAATAATATGCTTTAATGTCTTTTCACAAAAAAAACAGGTATGGTGTTTTTGATATTAGCTAAAGAAAATAGATTTTAATATAGTATAATAATTACAATCCTCTGGGATTCCAGTTATAAAAGATGTTATGTGAAAAATCACTTACTGTTTTATGTGAATAAATAATACATATACATTTACATTTTTAATAGTCTGTAAAACTATTTTCACTTTTTAACTAATCTCCAAATCACTATGAGGTGGGTGAACTTAAAACTAAAAATGTTTATATTAATAGTAAAAAAAAAAATCATGAAGATCACGAAGTCTGAGAGGACATAGTGCCGAACCCACTGAGAATCACACAACTCCGTAATTTCCCTCAGGTCTACGGAGTGCTTTAGCATCGGCCAGCTCATTAGCCCGCAATTTTAATGTTTTGGTTCACCATCTTCATTCTGATCAGCTGCAGCAGGCAGCTGTTTTCGGTGAAATAGCTCTAACAAACCCACTGTGGGCTACCTGCCCAACACCAAGCAGCAGACAGATAAAGTTACCGACTAGCTGGTGAATATAGTGGAGCATTTATCGACTAAACAGTAGTAGTTTCCAAAACTTCGGATGTATCGGTAAAATATTGTAACATCATACGCCAACCATGGAGTAATATACAACAAACTAGCAAAAAAGTCAGGACTTAACAACATACCACAGAAGAGCTGCCTTACAATTACCACAAACCTTTTCTAAGTACCTAAAAACAATGGAAAAAGTAATGTGGTCTTATGAGTCATACCTTTCTATATTTTCTACATCTTTATGGATTTTATTTTCAGAAAGTTAAAGGATGCCTGAAACCAACAATGTCTGCTGCCAGCTGTTAAACAAAGGGATCTGTAATGGTGTGGGCAGCCATTACCAGGCAGCCACAGCAATTACATCATCTATACTGTCGAACACCGTATGGTGCAAAACACTGTTCCTTCAATGAAGATGATGATGCCCCACATCAAGTATCACTAAACAAATTCAAGACTGGTTTCAAAAACAATGAGACAAAGTCGAACTCGCCAATCACCACATCTAAACATCACTGAACATTTTGTAGTGCACAGACTGTGAAGTACATTTCTACTCTACAGTTATCAGAGGACTGAAGTTGGGGCTGAAATGCTGTATAAGCGGCAGTAGTAGCAGCCACTGTTTTGCAACAGTATTACACCAGACATTGCAACGGAGCAGTGAAGATGCAGCAGTGGGGCAAAAATAACAGGAATAATGAACATAGAATAGTATGTGTAGTTAGATGGATGTTAAAGGATATGTTGCAGCAAGTATAGTATATCATGTTTGAGTGAAATTGAAATTCTCTTATTGTAGTATTAAGAAACTTTGCATACAGATTTAAACACACAAGGCTGCAAGCTAACAACAAAAATTGGAACACTGACATTTTCTGCCAATAGGGAAGTGGAGCCATTCTGGTTCACACAAGGCTGACCAGATCAAACCAAACAAACCAAATGTGGGTTGCAGAGTACGTCTGCATGGAACACATTACCAATGCTGAGAGGTAGTCTACATTTTCTATATATATCTCTCTAAAAATAAACATTTCTATTCTGCCAAAAGGCTCATAACGTCTCTGGTTGATTCAGTAACATACAATAGACTATTCAGATTATATGTAAGGCCTTCAAAATGTGAAGGACCTAAATATATTTTATTGGAATGAAACTTTACCAACTCCCACACTAAATAAATACAGCTATCATAAAAGGAATATAGATAGATTTCACTGGCTTCACCCAGTTATAAGTAGTTTCCCAGTCTTTGTAGTAGCTGCATTTCCTTTTCTTTAGTTTTCATCTTATTCCGACTTAATCTGCATAGTTTCTGACCTCGTGTTACGCGCAATAATCCGCGCTGGGCATAGTGGAGCAAATACAGGACAGGTTAACCTGTACTTGACCCATGTGTGCACAGTTTGAGTCCCTGCTTTCTTCACAGCCATTGCATAGAAACCACATTTTTAGTTTGACTTGAACTTGAATGTGGGACAATGGATAAACAATGCTTTGCAGTCCTACACAACCGCTCTGAGCATTTCGACCAAAAATAAATTGGTTGGGAACTAAACTAGACTTGTCATATTCTACATGTTGTTGCCAAAATGCCTTCTGTTCATGACCCATCCTTGATTTGTTATTGGGTTTTGCTCAAAGCTTGTGGAAACGCAAGTTTGACACACTGTGTCAATACACATCAAACAGCTGAACACAGGGAAAAATCTTTTTTATGGTTAATGTTAATGAAAGATCGCCTTTATGGGTCAAAGAAAACCTGTCTCGGGTGTCTAGGTCATTTTTGAGGTCATTTTAACTGTGTGAATACATGAAACAGCTCTTGAACGATTTGCTTTTAGCTGCTGATGCAGGGAAATCCTCAGTAATAGTTCTTTTTTAGACTGTACTGTATTTTATCTTGCCTGGATGTCATAAAACATTTACTAGCTTTTTATCTACAACCTTGACAGGTCTTTTTTGGGTTATGACATCATCTGGGGGGGTTATCTTCTCACGAGAACCATAAAAGAAATTATTGCATTTTTAATTTGTAAAATCGTTGGAATGCTTCTTCAGCCAAAACATCATATTGTTATGTCATTAGTCATACAATATTTTATCATGTGTGTTGTATTTGTCATTATTTTCTTTAAATTCTTTATTCCATATTTTGCAGTTCATTATGCTTGTTAATGTCCAGGTTGAGGCATCACCCATTGTCCTCTTTCTGTATCAATTGTTCTGTTGGAATATCTCACTGTTGGGACACAAGCTTATCTGTTGGCGGTTTCATGTCCTCCATAATTGCATTTTTGATGGACTTCTTTTGTTTGACTGGTACTTTTCTCTCTGACCCATTGTGGGGTAATTGGCTGAGCTAGTGATAACCCCCTTGAGTCCCTGCCATTCTGCCCTGACATCCCTCTGCCACCCCACACTTTTATCCAAAGGGAAATATAACCTAAGGATAATTGGAATTTTTCTCTTTCTTCAGTATCTGTCAACTTGCCTTACTTGGTCTTCAGAAACAAGAAAGTTTCCCTTTGACAAGAACCACAAAATAGCTGATCCATCACACAATAAGGCGTATACACAGCATCTAACGGAATAATTAGAGATGGAACAACGCTAATTAACCTGACAGCAAATGAGCCTTTACTTCAGATTTTTCTTAGGTAAAGACGGCCATCAGGTTTTATCATTTCCTAAAAGAGCAAGTTTGCTAAATTATGAAGTGGAACGAACATTCACACAAGGCTTTCGTCCCCCAAGCAGTGAATAAAAAATCTGAGCTTATTTCCAATGTTGCCCTCTCTCTTCATTTTTTATCACAAAGAATTTCATTTTGACATTCACATGCGACAAGGCTGTATTCTATAGTGCAAGTGGAAGACATGCCTTTCTTGAGGTTTCCCCCTCACAAAGGGCACATGGAGAGAACTCCCATAGTATTCTCTCTAGCTACACAGATTGGAAAACACTCTCTGAATAATCAGTCACAAACTGAAAAGCCAGAGACCAAATCGAAATCTAGAGATGGCATTAATCCTGACAGTAAATTCAAATCATCCAATGCTGCTGGGGCTGATAGCTGACTCTCTGCATCTCAGCCTCTGGATGCTCTTTCTCATCCATGGAATCACATGGAGTACTATGACTGGCTGCCTGCAGTTTGCTATCTGATTATGCATTTTATTTAAAGCTGTTCTTTCCAAGTACCAATCAGCCTTTCCATCAGGTTACCTGTCTGTTTGCCTTTAAAGCATTTAACATCACATGTCAGTGTCAACCAGAGGTAAGCTCCTGAAGCCATATCTTAAAATGGCTGTGGTTAAATTCACTTATCATATTGAGTACTATTGGAACTTGGCTATTAGCTTCTTCGTGCAATGAAATATCTCCTTAATTACACCCCAGCTATGGTGAAGAAGATAGCTTATCATTTACTT